TCGCCACTTCATGAACTTGAACGCGACTCTTACTTCTCAAATGTTCTATTCTCCACTTTCTTTATATACCAAGCAAAAACCAATAAAGCACTTAGTTGTGTAACACACCTCTCTCTATCTGTTACTTTTTCTCATTCACACTTGCTTCACAATTTTACGCAGTTATGGCTATGGACGATCCCATTTCTCTCTCAGATATAGAGGGTATCAAAATGAATTTTTTCTTTTTGTCAAAATTTTCGGGTAATATTCTGTACAATTTAATCAGTTTCAAGAATTGATTTGTATGCAGAAATAGAAAATCATGATCAGAACATTCTAAAGAAGCATGTCATGTTCTTTGATCGAAATAAAGATGGTATCATTTACCCCTCGGAAACTTTTCAAGGTATGTATTTAATGTTTCCTTTTATTTATTTCATCTTATTGTTGGCAAAAAATAATTTTTTTCAGGCAGTAAATTTAATGGCTATCTTTATTGATTACTGATTTTGCAGGGTTTCGAGCAATCGGTTGCGGGTATTTGTTATCTTCATTTGCTGCCATTTTCATTAACGTCGGTCTCAGTCGAAAAACCAGACCTGTAATTTCCTCATCTAATTTGTTTACATTCATATATATATATATCAAATCTCATTAACAAATGATCAAATAACATATTTATATATGTTTATATGTTATGGAATCGATGTATTTTCTTTGAATCTCGTTTTTTTCTTTTATTTAGGAATTTTTTTTTTTTTTTGGTAATGGAAACAAATTCTAAGAATTATCGTAAAAAAATATTTCCTTTTAATTGACAATTTTCATGTAAAATAAAGTTAAACGAATACCAAAATTTTTTTTCTTTTTTTTTTTTTTTTTTTTTGGCAATGGGAACAAGTCCTAGGAACAGTTGTAAAAGAAGATATCATTTTAATTAACAATTTTCATGTAAAATAAAGTCAAACAAATACCAAAAAAATACTTTTATTTTAACATTTTTCACGCAAAAAATTATATTAATCAAATACAGTAATTTATAATTTCCAAGAAAATAATTTCTATACAATTCAATTCCTTGAAATTCGTTTTCTTTCCATACAAATTCCATCTTCACAATCAAAAAGACCCTTATTTCTGATATTGCATTATACATGGGTTATGTGTATGGATTAATAGTGGAATTCAAATTTGGGTATTTTGATAAGGGATTCTGGATTGTTGATAGATAGTGAACACCCTGTTTGAGCCTCATTCTTTTGAAAATGTATTCTTCAACAGTGTTTTGACATCATTTCAATCGCACGTTCTCCAATCTAATATACACGTAAATCTAAAGTTTTTCCTTATTTTTTAACCACACATTTAGTGTTATTAATCTCTGGTTCTATTCTTTATTTTATTAGAGTATGAACAAAAGGTGAGGAGAGATGCTTTCATGTAAACATCAAGTTCTATCTTAGTTACCTAGAAAACAATATGTTGCACATCAATGTTGGATATATGTCCATTGAAGATAGGGAGACTAATAATAATTGCACAAATAATATAATTGTACTATGGAGTATAGTATAGCAGGTTTATGTTAGATATTTTTCAAATCAAATTCCACTATGTTTATTTTCATTGCATTTTGAGGGACGTCGTCAGGCTATCGTGAGAGAGCAATACTCATTTGGGTGAGGGCTCATTTGGCATAACTTTTGCATTTAAATTTGCTTTTGCTTCTCTTTCCTATAGAAGAGCTTTTGAAGGAAGCTGCCTTAATTTTTATTTGAAAACTAATTATTAAAATAACTTTTTATTCCAAAAATGCTTTTAGAAAAAGTCACACAAAACTAGCTTCCTCTAAAAGCATTTTTGACTAAAAAATCACTTGCATAAAATTAGCCAAAACATTTCAAAAGCAACTTTTGGATTTTAAAAGCTCCTTTTAACTTTTCAAAAGTCATGCCAAACAGATCCTAAATATAGTGGATAGGAGCTTACGCTTTTTGTGAGCGCTATGCAGATCCCCCTTATAATAAGAAAGAATTATAAATTTTGTGACATAGAAGTGCCAAACTTTTAAGACATGACATTTCCATTCTTAAGTTAAATTGGTGTGTCTATTTGCTAATATTGACTATGTTTAATTTTTTTAGCTTATAAAAAGACTATTTCATGCAAATGGATATCACTTGTGATGCATCAATTTCGTTCTCTTGTTCTTTTAGTGACTTAGAAATGGCACAGTGGTATTTAATTTTGGTATATGCATGTAGGGGAAATCCTTTTCTCTGCACTTCCCAATTGAGGTGGAAAATATCCACTTGAGCAAGCATGGGAGTGATTCTGGCGTTTATGACAAACAAGGAAGGTATTATTGACACTTTGGGATGACAACACATAACTAGGAGAATAATTCCTTTACGTCCTTTGACTGTTTATCCTAAGAATAAAAATCTATAACTCAACCTTGAGGAGTTAGCTCAGTGATTAGACATTGAGTTTGCTTACCAATGGTTACCAGTTCGAATCCCTCTCAGGGCCACTAGAGATTTATTCGACCGTTAACTTCAAAGTCTTGTGGAATTAGTAGAGGTGCACGCAAGTTGGCCCGAACACGCACGGTTATATAAAAAAATAAAAAATCTATAACTCGTTTTACAAGGCCGATGGTGTTCCCATATTATGATGTCATATCGGTGTCCTTTAGTGGAATTGGCAAGGAAATGTTGAAATAAATTACAGTTCTGCTTGGTGTACACTTTTGTGTACATCAAGTTTGACAGTTTATATATATATATATATATATATGTTCCCTCCAGTCATTTTTTTTTACTACACATCAAATGTCAAGCAAGATGTAAGAAGTTACATGTCTTCTAGTATTTTACATTGTTTAGTTGCTACATTTGGCAGTCGTACTGATGTTCTTTACAATCAGTCCATAATCCTTAATTACCGTAAACTATTCTTGTTCTTCACAGGCATCTAATTTCCTTTGTTAATACCAATATTTGAAGGTTTGTTCCGTCAAAATTTGAAGAGATATTTGTCAAGCACGCAAAAACTCATCCAAATGCCTTGACTTCAGATGAATTGAAAGAATTTCTCAAGTCAAACAGGGAGCCAAAGGATTATGCTGGATGGTATGTCAAAATTATTTTCTAGTCCTAGTAGCTATCTTATCTATTAAGTTAATCGAGTGAATTGTAGGGTGGCAGGCTTTTCGGAGTGGAAAATCCTATATGTCCTTTGCAAGGACGAGCACGGCTTGCTGAAGAAAGATGTAGTCAGAGCTGCCTACGATGGAAGCCTGTTTGAACGAATGGAGAAGGAGAAAGAATCTAAGAAGAAAGCGTAATCACGAATCTTAACCAAAAAAAAAAAAAAAAAGCTTTTAGATTTTAACATTACATTTAATTTACTTGCTTTGATTCTTTGATACACTGCTCTGCAGATGATTTATTCAACGAAATAAAGTTATTTTAGAGTAATATTTTTTTTTTGCAGCGTTACTTCTAATGTGTGAAGACATGCAGCGACTATGTTTGTGAATTATACATCTATCTGCTTTCATAATCTGAATCATAATTGTTTGATTGAGTAGATAAAGAGAGTGGTTATGCTATTTTTATGTACATTGAGTTTGTATTAAATACATAACAAGGAGATTGTATCCGTTTTCTGTGGGCATTCCTTCGCTTCATGAGGAATATTTGCAATGTGCTACTTGTTAAATATGCTGGAACAAGATGTGGGTCAGCCCTTTCTTATAGCTGAGTTGTGCCAAGGCTCGACTAGACCACTCGAAAACTAAGTCATGTCGGGCGAGTAGGGCCTAATTTACACCACTGGTGCAATATATCATATCTGCGGCCCCAGTGTCTATATTATTGAGGCTTGCTGGTAACTTGCTTTTGTTAAAAGTTTGCCTGATTAGTTCTGAAATCGATGTGGTATCTGTTTTTTCGGTCCCACTATAGGTACAGGGGAAAACTACCGAATTGGCACAGAAATTTGAAAAATGCTAACGTGGCACACTTCCTTAAAAAAAATAAAAAAGCAGATAAGGAAACATAAAAAGGAAGAAATAAAGAGACTGAATTGAAATCTTCCCCCACTCCAGCCATTTTGCCCTAGCTTCGCCTAACGACTTGTGCTCCAACCTCCGACAGTGAGACTGCCCGTCAAAATCTTCCCCCACTCCAGCCATTTTGCCCTAGCTTTGCCTAACGACTTGTGCTCCAACCTCCGACAGTGAGACTAGCCGTCGCACCAACCCTCCGACAGTGAAATCGATCGGCGCTCCAACCTCCACCTTCGACAATAGTAAGGTGGTACAAGTATGAATCGGATTTCTGAAAATATGATGAAGTGAAATCTCTTGCAATTTGAATAAGTTGTTTGGTAATTGTTAAAAGTCTCAATTCAGATCCTATTTCAAAAATTGTTGAAGTGAAATTTCAATGTAGAATTTGTAATTGCAGAATTAATACAAGCAGAACCTCGTATACATCGCCCATATTTACAAAAAAGCGCAGATATTTACTGATATAAACAATAAAATTCACATTTGCAGCCCGAACTCAGTGACCTGAATATAATTTTAGGGTCAAATTTATTTGCAGCACGTTTAGTGCAAGTGAGCTTCCTCAAAATATACACACACGTGCATGCTAAGAAAAACATATAAGAAAGATTGGAAGTGGACAGTGGATGATTCCGTCCAAATATCTCAAGAATTGAACTGACTTCAAGTTGGAAATTGTAAAAATGGAACAATTGGTTGCCTAGGAGAGGAAAAAGAAAGGGAAAAAATGGGGGAACTGGACCATATCAGTACTAATCCGTTTTGGTCAGTTTAATTTGATTTTTGAATGCTTGGAAAATAAATTGCAAGATATAGCATATATTCTTCTTATTTCACTTCCATGCCTTTTCTTTTCAAAGTCAGTGAGTTCTGTGACAATTGATGATTTCATAGCCAAATTCTATTACACGTTCGGCATAAAGTCCTGTGTGCTGTGCTACATTCAACAAAAAGAGTAAAACTCGTAAATGGACCAAATAGCTAAAATCCTAGAACTTGCTACAATGCTCGACTTTGAAAGCTTAACAGGCTGACATTTCGCTGGGAGAAATGGACTCTCGCTTGGCCGGCGATGGTGGAGAATCCGTCTATGGAGAAATGGACTCTCAGCGAACACGCTTAATAGTTGGGGGTTTCGCACTTCTTGCTCGGCCGGAGATGTGGAGTATTTAAGTTGCGGGTTGCGTGGTCGGAGATATGGAGATTTGGTGGTGGATTTGTCTATTATTGGAGACGTGGAGATACGAAGATTTTGGTGGCAGGTTATCTTGCTTCCCTCTTTCTCAGATTTTTGGCTTCCCGCTTTCTTGATTAGTATTTTTTTTTGTTCTCCTTAGAGGGTGTTTGATAGACATTTTTATGTAAAAATGCATTTTAGAATAGTAAATTGATGTGAAATGTGTTGTTGAAAAATAAGAAAAAAAATTGATTTACGTGTAATATTATTTTAATAAAGAATGCGTGGTTAAAAAGAAGAGAGAGACAAATGCATTTTAAAGAAAATGGCTACCAAACAGGCTCTTAATATCGGTCTAGCTGTCTTTAGTCCCCTGCCATGTCAGTCATTTTTAAATTCCTGTAAGTTATCTGTTAAATACTCGTAACTTTTTCCTGTCTTTATCTCCCGTTAACAGACTATAGGACAATTTCTTGGCTACTTCTGAAACTTCTTGGGTCCATTTTACATCAATCATACAACTTGTACAATGTATTTTATAATTTGATTTACAATGCATGACTTGGCAAATATCACATCCATCTAATTGAAAAACTGTTTTTAAAATCAATTGTTAGAATTTTTCCAACACACATAGCCCCCCGTTTAGCCCCTATTTTGTAGAATTGAAAATTGGTGGAATAATATTTTTTTGAAAAATGAGTGATTGAAGGAAAAATTTTCGATTTACGTATAATAATATTTTATGAAAAATTATGTGGTTGAAAATAGGAGAGAAAAAAATATAATATAATGTAATAAAAATTAATGGGGGTTAAACGAAAGCATATTGTCAATCAAATTGAACAAATACATTGTCGAAGTGACTTTGTTCATTTTCCATTATGCCACTTGAAGCCTGAAGGGGAGTTCTATAAGTATATTGGTAGGCCTGTTTGCTCAAATCAAGACATTTAGGACCACAAACCACTCATGTCACAATCTCTCCCAAGTTGAGTGGGTCAGCCCCTTCTCTTTGTTACCCACTTTGCTTTCGAAGTGTCTTGACTTGAGTGGTTCAATATCTGAATAATTTTTTTTTTTTTTAGACAATCACATGTACTTTGTTTGATATAAATTAAGATCATGTTAAAAAAATATGTTCAACCCGATATCCGGGGGGCCTCATTTCGAATGGGATGGAGATTATCCACGTAATCAGGTAAACAAGACAGGGGCATGACATTGCCCCGAAGCGGGTACGGGAAACACAATCCCATCCCGCTATAATATATTATTTTTGTTTAAAGTTAATTTCAAATTTAATTTTTTTATCACACAAAAAAAATTATAATCATTTTTAAAGAAAACAAGAGTTGCTCTTAACAAGTCAAAAAAAAAATAGGGTAATTATATTCATAAACTAAAAATATTAAAAAAATAAACGGGCGCGATAAGCAGAGTAGGGGACTCGCCCAAACCTGTCCCATCTCGTTTTAATTAGATATGAGGCCGGGGCAAGGTAAAAAAAATACCCGATGATGTGGAGGGTGCCCGACCCACTCCCCATTGCCATCCCTACTATTTGGTACCCAAAATTTGATTAAAATTTAAGTCTAAATTAACAATTAACTTTAACCACACATTTTATAGGATCTACAATTTTTCAACAATATATTCCATCAATTTTTATTAAAATTTATTCAAATTTTAATTTTAATATCTAACAAACACAGGCAAAAATTCCCTTTTTAGGATATTTTAAATTTTTGAAAAGTATTTAAAATCTAAAATATTTCAGCAACAAGGACATGGTAGATCTGTGACAATGACTAATCACCCGTTAAAAATTGAAGTGACCATATTCTGACATCATTTTAAAAGTTTATATACAATTAAAATCATGTTTGCTGTACACTTAATTTTTCATTTTGTCACATGACAACATATCATTGAACAGTTAAAAAACAACACAATTTTTTAGTCCAATTATTTGTTGACAAGTTGGATAATGTCAATAATGATGTATAAAAAAGGTACACAAATGATATTTTTCTTACATTTGTGCCCTTCAATCATTCTCCCCCAAATATTAAAATATTAAAGTGGGGGTGGAGTAGGGGATTAAAATTTGAATAACAAACATTGCCCATGAATTAAGTTGTCCGAAAGTCAATACATCAGATATCATACATGAAAAGAATCAATATATTCAATCAAATCGGGCCACAAAAAATGTTGGAGAGAATGCCTTTTTTGGAGGGGAAAAAAATAGTGATGGCAGCAGGTAGGGGTGGCAAATGGACAGAACGGTTCGGGCTCGTAAAAACATGAGTCCAAGCGCAAGCCGAGCAGGTTGGTTTGGTGGGAGAGCCGAACTCGCTCGGCTCACAAATTAAACAAGCCCAGCTCGTGGGCTCGTTTATAAAGTGACCGTTTCGGTCACTTTTTCAGTGATCGTTACGTTTACTGACAAAAGTCAGTGACCGTTTCGGTTCCTAAAAGTTTTTTTTTTTTTTTATGACCGTTTCGGTCCTTTAATTTTTATTTATTTATTTTTCACTCTTCTTCTTCTATAAATAGTGGCATTTAGCCACAAAATTTTCTACAATTCACTCTCAACTCTCAATTCTCTTTCTCTCAACTCTCTTGTGTTGTGTTAATAGTTGTGCAATTTTTATATACAATTTATACAATATATAATTCTCATTTCTCAGTTCTCACTATATTTATTGAAATTTCATCCAATTTTCATTTCTTACTACATTTATACAATTATTCTTTTACTAGTTATTACTTATTACAATTAAACAAATGAATTCATGCTCATTTGTCGAAAACTTGTTCGGTGTGGGAGGAAACGAATCGCCTATAAAATCGCAAAGTCAATTTCGGAATCAATTTAAAGGTCTAAATGACGTACCTCTACCTGAAGATATTCCAGATTTGGATCTTCATCATCATGTAAGCGACAGTCCAAATTATCCAATTAATTTGGATGATGTTGACATTCCCGAAACGGAACACGATCAGGAAGAAGAGGTTGAATTTAACATTCCTGATGCAAGGGGAAAGCCAAAGGAGAAAAAACAAGCAAAATGTTGGGATCACTTTAAGTTGATTTCAAAGGGAAAAATCGTCAATGGAGTTCCAGAATCCAAAGCAGTATGTAAATACTGCCAACAAAGATTGGCATGGCAAAGAAGAATTGGTACCATCCATCTCAACCACCATTACAAAGTATGTGCGGCCAAACACGGACTTATTCCAGGCTGTCAAACACAATTGCAATTTGGAAGTCCAGACGCCGGTGGTTCTGCTGCACCCCTATCCACGTGGGTGTACTCGGAGGAGAGAGCTCGAACCGGAATGGTGAAACTTGTTGCTGGTGCTGAGTTGCCTTTGGCATTAATTGACAACCAACACTACGTCTCGTATGTGAAAGAATATCTGCAGCTAAGGTACGTTGGGGTAAGTAGAAACAC